CATTTTTTAAAAATATTTCAGTGGTTTTCCCGCAATATTGCATGTAATATGTGCAATTTTAAAACATATAAAAAAGATTTCCTCAAAAACGGCTCCAACTTTTTTCTTTAAACGCTGATTGGAGATAGTTCTAAATAGAGAGACATGAACACTATATTGCTCTAACCATTCTATGAAATGGCATGAACAACATATTGCTCTAACCCCTTGTTTTTTTTCAAAAATTACAAACAGGCATTTTTTGGTCTCTCACGCCGTTATATATTGTAATATTTATATTAACGATAAAGGGTTAATGTATTTAAGAGTGCATTTGCTTTAAATAATGTCAAATATAGTTTCTCGAAAACTCAACAGTTTTCTGCAAAACTGAGCTCAAAATTTAGCATTTTCAGAAACACTCAAACGCCGTTTTTTCGAAAATGGCTCCAATTTTTTTTTCAAACTTTTTTCAAACAATGTGGATAGTAGTGATTGCAGTGTGAAAGATGATATAGAACAAATTTTGCTGTACTATTTTGTGTTGTTGTTTTTAAATTTAAATGTAATTTTGTTTAAATATTTCTACGCTATCAATATGCACATTTAGAGTTATTTGTAAACACTATTTCATTTGAAACTGCAAGTGCTAGAAATGACTCTGTATGAAAGTTTTTGAAAACTCAACAGTCTTTTGTGTAAAAGCTTCAAATTTCGAATTTATAGTAGCTTTTAAATGTCATTTTCTTAAAAACGGCTCCAATCTTTCAAAAGAATTGCGATAAAGGACGAGATTTTACTGACCTTAAATTTATTAAAATAATATTTACGTTTCACAAGTAGGAAACAGAAGCGTTAAGAAATGTAACAAAATGTACTTTGAGTGGCGATAGATGGCAGGTGGGAAAAGTATGTGGCAAGTCGAAATAGCTAGCAACACCAACGAAAATATATAACTGATACGGGAAAGTATGTGCTATTCTGTAGCACCACTAATTTTACTTTATTCTGCAATTTGAATTCCCTCTCACTATTTCCTGCGCTTCGTTAACATAATTTAATGTTTTCCTAGCCATCGAAAATAATGCAGGTGTGCACCACAGTTGAGTTGCGTGGATTTCGATTATTTTTTCATTATTAATAATACTGCTTAACATGGAAGAAAAACTGAAAACATTGACACCGTAAATTTGTACGAAGATTATAACATTAATTTTATATTACCTCCATTAGTTTTATATTACCTCCATTAATTTTATATTACCATCATGGGAAACAATGAAGCAATGTATATTTCAGAGGTTCATTGTTGAAAGTGGCAAGAGATAATTTTTTTATTTTATTTTCTGCATAATTTACAATCTGTTCCTATCGGAACAATAAGCAAATGGTGT